CTACTCCTTGGCCTCCAGAGGTTTCTAGAGATAACTGGTTTACCCCTGCATGAATGATTCCTCTCTGGATCCAAGGACATGGCGGACACTCAAATATTCGTTGGTTGGCAGTTGGCTGGATGAATAAATGAACAACATGAATGAATATATGATATTTTATGACAAGATGCTCTGCAAATCCACAAACACAACAAGAGCAAGAATGTGTGACAGAGGAGCTTCAGTAACATCCTATTGGTGACTTCTTGAAAATGGTAGCAGGCAATTAGACTACACTCCCCTCCCTTAAAACCTGTTGAAATCAATTGAAAGAATGAAAAGAAAAGAAGCAAGCAAGCTTAGTCAACGGCCAGAAAACAGCTACCAAACCTATGAAATGTGGAAGACAGGGAGAATGCCAGAAGCCGCCAAACTTCCTCAGACGTCACGTATGCAGATGCTCCGACAGTCACAAACTGTCACGGTTGCAAAGGTCCACAGTGATCCTCTGACGGATGCACTGAGAGCAAGGATGTGATGGTCCCAGGAGACGTACAGTAACTCCCACAGGGCAGAAGGGAGGGCAGGCGAAGCTAAAGGGAGACACTTGGGAGAGACCACCTTTGCCATCCAGAATCCAGCTCTATACTCTCAAAGAAGTTAAAGACAGCACAGTCTGACATGAGGAACCCAAAGAAGAGATCCAGGAGATCAGGTAAAGTGAGAAGGCAACAGAAAGATGTGTGAAGTAAATCAGCAGAACTCACAAAAACAACAGGCAAAATAAAACCAATAGAGGTAAAAGCTATACGAGAAGCCATAAAACATAGTGACAAAGTGCTGAGAGAGATGAGGATAGACAGAGTAAATCACACAAAGTGAAGCTGAAAAGAAAACGGAGGGACAAGGGATTACAGAAAATATAATAGACATGGAAGACAAAGGATATTCAACAAACGCATAACTAGTGTTCCCAACGGAGAATACAATGAACGGATGATGAAATCAGTCAAAGATAAAAAAAAAGAGGGGAGGAAATATTCCCTGAAAATAAAAAAGGGAGATGAAAATCTATGTCTGCAGAATTAAATTATATGCACTAAATTTCAGGAAAAAAGGACAGAAAATAATAAACACCACGATTAATCCTGGTGATATTACTGAACTTCAAAAGATAAAAGAATGAACCTACAAAGGTATCAGGCAGAAAACTCAAGTGACCTCAAAGGGGAGAAGAAAAGCCTTAACTTGCTCTTTGCTGTCACTCTCAGCAGTCCTCTCAGAAGAGGCTATGTGGTCTCATGCCACCGTGTACCCTTCCTTTAATTAATTATTAATTGTGTGACTATGGACTCTGTCTTATACTGATTCTCCAGCACCTAGCACAATACCTAGTACTCAATCAGATGCTCAACAAGTAAGTGTTGAATTATTTACCTACCCAAAGACAGTTTCCTCCCTAACACAGTCCTTTGTAAGATGAAGAAGCTGAGGCACAGAGACATTATCAGACCTCCCAAGTCACACAACTGGGAACTAGAGAAGCTGGGACTTGGACTCAGGTCTCTGTCTGGGGCGTTGCTCTTTCCACTGGGCCCTAGTGTTGTGGGAACTGACCATACATTCATGCACCCCACTTCCCTTGCAGCCTTACTTTTGGGTGGCACCAACAAGACAACTGCCGAAAACAAGACTTGCTTTCCATTTGTTAGGCCATTTCTGAGTGGGTGCACACCTCACATGAAGATGCTTCCCAAACTACCCTGAAACAGAGGGAGGCATGAGGTAAAGACTTATATCCAAATTGCCTGATGTGGGCTGCTGTGTTTCCTTATCTTACTAGTTTCGATAAAAAAGAATAAAATTGTAAATTATTTACCTGAGATTATAGAATGTCTATAGTAAAAATAAGGAGGGCAATTTTACTTTTTTCTTTTAATTAAAACATCCCCCATTGGCAGTATCTCCTTGAGAGCTAGCGCCATCTAGTGATTAAACAGCAGTTTTACATGCTCCACACATCTATTCTTTTCAAAGATATGTATTTTAATCATATAATAAATTTAAGACTACTTGGTCAGTTTCAAAAAACAAAAAAACAAAAAAAGCTCTATGTCTAAGAAATATTCTTGATAGGCACAAGGATTGTAAACACAAATTTTAATTCTAAACAGGGAAAACTGGGTTGCCCTGATCTGAATCCTGCCTCTGCCACTGGGTGGTTGGTTGGATGATCTTGGGCAAGTTATTTATCCTGTTTCTTCACACACTTACCGCCAGGGGTGTGAAGTAAATGAAATGGCACGTGTGAGCTGCCTAGCAAATATCAAATGCTCAGAAAAGGTCAATGTGTCTTCCTCCCCCTATTGTATTGTAAGGCTGTGGGAAACTGAAATCCCCTTCCAGCTTAAGGGCCCCTTCATTCATGCCATCTGCAATCGGCCAGGACAATGTTCAGGTTATGATAAGACCTTTCAACTGCAATCAGTTACTAATACTCCACCTCCGGTACCTGGGCTGTATAGGGAAAGGCTTTCCTGTTGGCTGGGATGTACAGAAAGGTGGGGACCGGCACGCACATACTGCTGCTGGGAAGGCAACTGGGAACCACTGCTTCGGAGAACAATTCGGCAACATCTAGTGCGAAGAAGCACACATAGGTACACGTACCAAACGTGCAAAGGAATAACCTAAATGTTCATCAGGAGGTGAGTAGATAAATAAATTAACATGTATCCATCTCAAAAATTCAATACTCAGTGAAAAAGCCGAGAGGTGGAAAGATTGATTCAGTACGGTGACCTTTGTACAATTAAAAACATATATAGGGCTTCCCTGGTGGCGCAGTGGTTGAGAGTCCGCCAGCCGATGCAGGGGACACGGGTTCGTGCCCCAGTCCGGGAAGATCCCACATGCCGCGCAGCGGCTGGGCCCGTGAGCCATGGCCACTGAGCCTGCGTGTCCGGAGCCTGTGCTGCGCAACGGGAGAGGCCACAGCAGTGGGAGGCCCGCGTACCGCAAAAAAAACAAAAAAACAAAAAACAGACTTCTAGAGTACATCCCAAATCCAGGAGAAGATGGCTATCCAGGGATGGCGCAGATGGGAGTCAAAGATTTCAACCCTAAGTGTAATTTTCTTTCTTTTATTAAAAAATCTGAAGCAAAAAAACCACAAAAAACAAAAAACGAAAAACAAAAGATAAGATGTCAATACTTGTTCATTCTGGAGCACGAGAAGACTAACGTGCTATGCTATTTTCTGCTTCTCAGTTGCGGGGGGCTGGGTTATAGAAAATGTACGTGTTCAGCTCTCACAGACAGTGCAGCGCAGCTCCCCACAGCGGTGGCGTCAACTCCGTTCCCGCGGCGTTACAGAGCTCCTCCACACCCTCACCAAGCCTCGCCAGTGTTTGTTGCCTTGCTCTACTTTTCAAATGTTTAAATAAAAGACATTTCCGAGACTTCCCTGGCGGTCCAGTGGTTAACACTCTGCACTCCCAACACAGGGTGCGCGGGTTCGATCCCTGGTCGGGGAAGTGAGATCCCACATGCCGCACAGTGAGGCCAAAAAAAAAAAAAAAAAATTCCATACTGCACATGGGTCCTAGAGCCACCATGACACACTTGCCTAAAAAATAAACCATCTGTTCTGTTAACGACAAAGGAGGTTGTACAGGTCACTGTAATCTCTTTCCTCTGAGGCAAATGTGGTAGCGAGCTTTACTTCCAAAATAGTTGAGTGATACAGCTCTATCTGTAACCTGGGTCCAACATACTAGCCAGGAAGCGTGCAGAGGGGCAGTGGGAGCTCACATAGGCCTATTAGAGCCCCGCAGCAGACCTCCTTGGGTTCTTGGCAGCTGCCTGCCTGTCCAGTGCTCCTTGCTGTAGAGAAACCTAACTCTGCATGTTAAAGTCTGTATATGCTAGAAAGTGATGGTTAGTTTCTGAAATACTCACATAAGGATTCCTCAAAATAAGTTCCCTGACACCACTTAAAATGCGATTCAATATAGTGGAGGATAGTCAATATATTCAATCTGTATATATTATAGTTGGATGCTACAAGTCTATAAGTATACTCACTACAAATAATACATTATAGTGATGGTGAAAAAGAAAAAAGCGAGAAAGGAAAAAGAAATTATGGTGCTGTCTTTTGCCGTTAAAGAAATGGCGCTATCCAGTTTCCAAAACCCTGGGAGCAGAGTGTTTAAACCAGGGCACGCAGGCAATGGTGGAGAAACGGGTTCCTTCAACCTCTCTGGACCTCGGCTCCCCCATGTGTGATGGGGCCGGAAACGGAATCTACGTCAGCGAGACAGCAGGAAATCAATGCATGTGAGAGTTTGATTTACAGACTCACACAGGGTAAGCACTCAGAGAACGTCTGCTGCTAAGGAGAGATGAGTGACCATACTCCTCTTGTCAGGCATGAATTTGAAGAAACGTTGCAATGTACACATCGATACAGAAAAGTGACAGGAAAATTAGCTTTGGGGGGTCAAAGGAAAGAGCAGGATGACCAGCATCGAATGGAAACCTACGTTAAGAATGTGAAGATGGGGCTTCCCTGGCGGCCCAGTGGTTGAGAGTCCGCCTGCCGATGCAGGGGACACGGGTTTGTGCCCCGGTCCGGGAAGATCCCACATGCCGCGGAGCGGCTGGGCCCGTGAGCCATGGCCGCTGAGCCTGCGCGTCCAGAGCCTGTGCTCCACAACGGGAGAGGCCACGACAGTGAGAGGCCCGCGTACCGCAAAAAAAACCCCGAAAAACAAAAGAATGTGAAGATGTTTATCTCTGTTTTTGAAGGACTTGTCTTGAAAGATAAAGGAAAGAGTTTTGAATTTTAGCCTAACAAGACAGAAAATGAGACTGGACATGTTAAAAAGAAATAAGCCCCCAAACAAAAGCCATTAACTGCCGAAGAGAGAAAAGGAAAATCCTTACTAATGCACTTGACACAACTGGCTATGAGTTAATGTCAAGGTGCAGAAGAAACGCTGGAACGATACAAGCACCTGATTTCTGTGTGGCACGGCATACACGGCGTCGCTGAGGCTTCCCTCTTCTTTGCGAGCACTTGCGTCCCCCGACTCCCTGTGGCTGCATGACAGGTACGTGTCAGAATCCTCTTCCCCCTCGTAGCCCAGCATTTCAAAGGATGGCAAAGAGGATCTTCTTGCCGTCTCATTCTGCCTATGTGGTCTGTATTAGAACATTCAAGAGCAAAAGAAACAAACAAGCCACTTAATGCTTCACATAGGTTCATATACGTGTATTAAATGCACTGCCTCAAGTTCCACTGTAAAGTATTATGACCACATTACGAAATATACAGAAGCTAAAGGGTGATATCACCCACAATTCCATCTCTTTGTACACTGTTAGCATTTCTTTCTAGCTTTTCACCTGGGTTTTTATAGTTATTATCACTGCATACATATACAATTTGCCTCCTCGTTAACAAGTTTTTAAAGTCAAAAGTTAGGTTCATACACCAGTTTTATCACCCGTTTCCCCTTACTTAGGTTTTTTCCCCCCAATTTTCACCATCATAAATAACCCTGTAATGAATGTCAATGTGTAGCAAATCTCTTCTGTATTGAGGATTAGTCCCATAAAACAAACAACCATATGGAGAACTGCTGAGTCAAACAGTATAAACACACACACACGGAAAGTACACCACCAACAGCAAGAACATTTCGTGGGTCCACACGCGTCCACGCAAAATCGTTCCCCCAACCTGCAACTATGTTGGTAATAATGTTCTAAAACTAGCCAAAATAATTGAAATCTCACTGTAAAAATGTGCATTTCTTCCTGAGACTGGATATTTTTCCATGTATTTGGATGTGAGCCCTGGTTCCTCTACTGTGAATTGTCTGCTCATGGCCTTTGTCCATTTATCTACTCTGCTTCTAGTACATCCACTCCAATATGAAATTAACTTTTCCATCTACTAAAATTAAAACCCTGACTTTGTACTTACTATAAATATTTTTCCTATTCTACTGATCTTATTTTGACTATAAATTTTTTTAACATACAGATGATTAAAAAAAAATTTTTTTTTTTAACCTTCCAAATTCTTAGCTCAGAAGTACACAGCAGGCTTCTCTCTCTGAGAGGCTTGATAAGATTGGATATAGGATTTCATGGTCTTATTTCTATGTATATAAAAATGAATCCTTTCATTCAATAAGAATTTGTTTTGGTGTATGAATTAGGAAAGGCTCAAAGCTGATTTTTTTCTAATACTGCTGATGAGTATACTGTCGAATCCCTTCCTTTCCCTTTATCTGTGGGGCTGCCTTTACTAAGGATTCAATATGCCTGCAAACACGAGGCTCACCTCGGGGTGCTCACGTGCGCCTCTGTCATCGAACCAGCACTCCTCTAACTACTTCAACTAAACGTTTTAAAACATGATGGGGCTGAGGGCCTCCCTGGTGGCACAGTGGTTAAGAAGCCGCCTGCCAATGCAGGGGACAGGGGTTTGAACCCTGGTCTGGGAAGATCCCACATGCCGCGGAGCAACTGAGCTCGTGCGCCACAACTACTGAGCCGGTGCACCACAACTACTGAAGCCCGTGCACCTAGAGCCCATGCTCCACAACAAGAAAAGCCACTGCAGTGAGAAGCCTGCGCACCGCGACGAAGAGTAGCCCCCGCTCGCCACAACTAGAGAAAGCCCGCGCGCAGCAACGAAGACCCAACGCAGCCAAAGATAAATAAGTACATTTATTAAAAAAAAAAAAAATATATATATATATATATGATGGGGCTAATGCAGCCCTCCCCCTGAATCACTATTCTTCCTTTCCAGATTTCCGCTTATGGTCTTATCTGTTCATTCTTTCCAATGAATTTCAGAACCACTTCCTCATCTTCAGTTCTTATTCAGCCAAAGTATAAATTCTTACCAGGAGAAAAACAGGCTATATTTAAACATCTCAGAAATGGAGTCAAGATTAAAATTCAAAAACCAAAACTATAAACACATCCTAGAAGGAAATACGTGAGCATTTGTATAGTGCTGTAATAGGGAAAATCTTCCTAGATTTGACAATAATATCAGAAACTACAAAGACTGATAGCTCTTAATACATAAAAATAAAGAATATTTTGGTATGTTAAAAAAAAACCTCAAAAACCAAAATTGAATAAACATGGCAGATACAAGGCAAATCTAGTGATGCAGCCCCCACCTCCACCCCACAAGCCCTTAAAGTCCTCAGGGTCTTCCCACTGCTCCTGGGGGAGATACCAAACCTCAGAACAGGATACCAAAGGCACCCCCAGCCTGCCCACTCCTCCAGCACCGTCTCGGATGACTCCCCACCTCACTTGACTCCTCCCAGCCACACATGTCTTCCTTCAGTTGCTCACACGTGTCATGCTCCCTCTTCTCTCATCCCAGCCCCACACTGACCACCGCCCAACCCATTCCCAGTTGGTTCCTGTATGGCCCGCAGCTCTCCCCCAGTGCCCTCTCCGTTAGGAGGAAAGCTTCCTGACTCCCGGCCCTATGTCAGCTCTAACCCATCTCAAGCAGTAGAGAAAGTGATGTTAAAGAAGAATGGTTACAGTAGGCGTCAACAAAGGTAAATTCAGTGTGACCGTTCAGAGAGGAGATACACGAGAACTGGAGACTGACAACTCTCACCATCTAGGCTGTGGCTAAAAGCAACACTGAATTCACCAGCTCAGTGCTGCCATGAAAGCAACCGGTGCCTTCACAAGCTATAATTTAACAAGATCCACTCTAGAGAAAATTCGGATACAATTCAAGACCGATAAATGTCCCAAGACAGTATCCCTTTGACATTGGAGATGAAAACCTGAATACTAAGCTCTAGTCCGAGCCACATGCACCCACATGCACACACACACGCTCAGAACTGCCCTGCCTCTGCCCCGAGAGGAAGCTGAACCCGTGACATGGTCCTTACTGATGCCTCAGCTCCAAGGTGGTGGCATAGGGCTCGATGAAACTGTCCTTTTCACTCTCAGAGTGGGATCTCCGGCGAGGCTGAGGAATGGCAAAAGTCCGGCCAGTCAATGTTGTTGCTAGAATGGCTGCAGCCAGAGCAGATCTATGGACAAAAACATCCCAGTGAGCCAGTGAGACACGAACCCTCAAGCTGAAGGTTGAACAACAGGATACATGAATTAATCAAGGTTTACTTTCAGTTCTACAGTGTTCAGTGTGTATCTACTGGCTACGTGCCTGTCGTCTGTTATGTGCCATTGCACAATCTCACTTCATTCTCACAGCAACTGTATGAATGGATATTACTGTCATCTCCATTTTTCAAAGACATTAAATGACTTGTCTAAGCTTTCCTAGCTAATGGGAGATGAAACCAGGTCTGTGATCCAGGCAGTCTATATTCAAGTAGTGTTCCTATTAAAATGAAAGATCAGAATGGGGGGAAAAAAGGAGAAATAAAAAGATATAAAAGAAATGAAAAGGAATTTGAAAATTTTGCAAATTATTCAAAACTATAATAAAGGACGGACCGAGTAATGGGTTTACCCTCCCGCTTGAAAAAGCAAAACAAGCAATTAATTGTTCCAGCTTACTGCCTGAGAAAACTTCCAGGTCACGGCACAGGGAGGAGGAAATGAGGTGGAGCCAGGCCGAGGTGTGGAAATGGAGTGGAGAGTCAGGGAACACCAAGGCAGATAGAATTTGCAGGACAGAAGACCAGAAAGGAAAGAGCGGAACAGAGAGAACTCCAGAAACCTGCAGAAGGCCCCTGAGTGCTCAGCAAAATGCTCGTCAGTGCAAGAGTGTGACGACACTACGGAAGGCTGGGGGAGAGCCATCCACGAGGATGAGAGGAACAGTGCCAGGTGCTCACACAGTGCTGGGGACAGTGACTGTTCCCACCAGACAGATGGGAACACATCATAATTCATGGGACATTGGGTACTCTAAAGGTGGTGAATAAGTAGCCCTAGACTGAACACTGCTCCAGACCCTGCCTAACAAATCATAAAAGCAAGACCCAAAAAGATCAAACTGGTTCCAAGTAATTTAACTGCATCCCAGAAAAAAATTCAAGAAGACTTGTGGGAATACAAAAATATCCATCACTCAACAAGGTAAAACTCACAAGTGTCTAGTATGCAAACATACATAAACTAGGCATGCAAAGAGACAGAAAAACATGACCCATAATGAAGAGAATAATCAATCAAAATCCATTCAGAACTGACACGTTAGAAGTAACAGAGAGGGACATTAAGACAGTTATTATAATTATGTTCCACATGTTCCAAAAGGTAAGTAGAGACATGGAATATTATTAAAAAGACTTGAACTTCAGGCGATGGAAATTACACTGGATGGGATTAACAGTAGGTTAGTGAAATTAAAGGTGAAACAATAGAAAATAACCAAAATGAAATACAGAGAGGAAAAAATAACTTAAAGAGCATAGTAAGATATGAGATTAAAAATGCTATCGGCCATTAAGTTTTGGGAACTCCCTGGCAGTCCAGTGGTTAGGACTCCGTGCTTTCACTGCCGAGGGCCCGGGTTCAATCCCTGGTCAGGGAACTAAGATCCCGCAAGCCACACGGCATGGCAAAGGAAAAAACAAGCCACCAAGTTTTGGTGTAATTACTTACATGACAATAGATAATTTTCATCAAATGGTGCTAGAACAACTGGATACCCAAGTTCAAGTGAACCTGAATCTATACCTCCCACACCATACACAAAAATTAACTCAAAGTACATCATAGACCTAAATGTAAAGGCTAAAACTATAAAACTTCTAGAAGAAAATATAGGATAGAATGCTTTATGACCTTGGGTTAGGCAACGATTTCTTAGATATGATACTGAAATCATGATCTGTAAGAGAAAAAAAAAGAAAAAGTTGACAAGCTGACCTTCATAAACATTAAGAATTTCTGCTCTCTGAAAGGCTGTTAAGAAAATGAAAAGATAAGCCATAGATGGGGAGAAAATATTTGCAAATCACATATTTGTATGTGATTTGTATGTGATACAAGAACTTGTATCCAGAATATATATCCAGAATAGTGTATATATACAGTAATAGGAACAAAACCCAATTTTTTAAAGTGGGCAAAAGACTTTACCAAAGAAGATATACTTTACCAAAGAAGATACAGAATGGCAAATATGCACATGAAAAGATGTTCAGGGACTTCCCAGGTGGCGCAGTGGTTGGGAGTCCGCCTGCCAATGCAGGGGACACGGGTTCGAGCCCTGGTCCGGGAGGAACCCACATGCCGTGGAGCAGCTGGGCCCGTGCACCGCAACTGCTGAGCCTGTGCTCTAGAGCCCGTAAGTCACAACTGCTGGGCCCGCGTGCCACAACTACTGAAGCCTGCACGCCTGGAGCCCGTGCTCTGTGACGGGAGAGGCCACCGCAATGAGAGGCCCGCACACTGCGGCAAAGAGTGGCCTCCACTCGCCGCAACTAGAGAGGGCCTGTGAGCGGCAGCGAAGACCCAACACAGCCAAAAATAAATAAATAAATAAAGTTATTTAAAAAAAAAAAAAAGATGTTCAACACCATTAGTTACTAGAGAAATGCAAAATAAAACCATAAAGATACCACTACACACCTATTAGAATGTCCAAAATTTAAGACTGGCTAAGACAACCCCTTCAACCTGGGCCTGGCAGAATGGCTCTCACAAAGAAGGGTGGAGAGAAGAAGGGGCCAGTCTGCCATCAATGAGGTGGTGACCAGAGAATAACCCACCAACATTCACAAGCACACCCATGGAGCAAGCTTCAAGAAAGGTGCCCCTTGGACACCTTAAGAGATCCAGAAATTTGCCAGGAAGTTGACGGGAACCACAGATGTGCACATGGACTCCAGGCTCAACAAAACTGTCTGGGCCAAAGGAATAAGGAACATCCCATACTTTATCAGTATGGTTGTCCAGAAAGTGCAATGAAGATGAAGATTCACCAAACAAGCTCTGTACATTGTTATCTATGCACCTGTCACCACCTTCAAAAACCTAGAGACAGGGACTTCCCTGGTGGTGCAGTGGTTAAGAATCTGCCTGCCAAGGCAGGGCACATGGGTTCGAGCCCTGGTCTGGGAAGATCCCACATGCCACGGAGCAACTAAGCCCGTGTGCCACAACTACTGAGCCTGCGCGCTAGAGCCCGCGAGCCACAACTACTGAGCCCGTACACCACAACTACTGAAGCTCGTGAGCCTAGAACCCGTGCGCCACAACAAGAGAAGCCAATGCAATGAGAAGCCTGCACACGGCAACAAAGAGCAGCCCCCACTCGCCACAACTAGAGAAAGCCCGTGCACAGCAATGAAGACCCAACACTGCCAAAAATAAATAAATAAATAAATAAACAAACCTATAGACAGTCAACATGAATGAGCGCTAATGGCTAATTGTCAAATAGTTATAAAGCCACAGACACAGACACACACACACACCTGATCAAACCAAGTATTGGTGAGCACGTGAAGAAAATGGAACTCATACCCTGCTGGTGGGAACATATATGGAGTAACAACTTTGGAAATAGTTTGGAAGTTTCTTAATAGGTTAAATATATCCCTAGTATATGACCCACCTATTCCACTCCTAAATATTTACCCAAGAGAAATGAAACCACAGGTCCAAAGATTTGTGCACAAATATTCATAGCAGCTTTATTTCTAGTAGCGAAGAAACTAGAAACCACCCAAATATCCATCAACAGGTGAATGGACAAACAGTGGCATATTCATATAATGGAATACCACTCAGCAATTAAAAGGATGAATTACTGATTTTCACAACAGTATGGATGAATCTCAAAATAATTATGTTGAGTGAAAGAACCCAGCATAAGTATTTTGTATAATTCCGTTTATAAAAAAGTCTAGAAAATGGAGGCTAATCTTATAGTGATAGAAAGCAGATCGATGGCTGCCTGGGATGGGGATGAGGGTGGGCTGGGCCAAGGTATGGGAAGTGAGAGGGGGAAGGAGGGAGGAATTACAAAGGGGCATGAGGAAACTTGAGGGGATGATAGATACATTTATTATCTTGATTATGGTGATGGTCTCACAGGTATAAACATATGTCATAACATCAAACTATTCATTTAAATATGTACAGTTTATTGTACACCCATTATATAATAAAACTGCTTTAAAAAAAGATAAAAGACTATCTAAAGCAAACATAAGAACACCATATTGTGGGGTTTATAACATACAGAATTATAACGTATAACGACAGTAGCAAAGGATGGGAAGGAGGAAACAGAAGTGATTGCTGGAAGATTCTTACACTATTACGCTAGACGCGAAGTGGAATAATGTCAGAGGTTAATTTGAACGTTAGTTTTTAGAGTAAAATAACCCAGAAATCGGCCAAATTTGCCAAAACCATGCTGATTATTTGGGGCTAATAAAGATTATAATCCAGAAATATATTTTTGGAAAACACAGGAGACTACAAAGATTTTCTAACGAGTCTACAGCATGCTTGCGGCGAAATGATGTGGTCTTTTGTTTGTTTTTCTGCTTTATAATGGAATGTGAAGCTAACTCTCTCACTACTGCTGCTACATAAACATTTCAGTTCTAATGACACAATTTAAGGGTTGTTCACACAAACACTGAAGAGCCAGACAGACCTACAAGTCCATCGCAGCGATGCCACCACCCACCAGCCGTGAGACCCTGGGCCAATGACTAACACTTGAGCTCAAAACAGAGATGCCAACAGGACCTCTCTCACAGGATCGTTGAGAGGATGAAATGAAACAGTGCTTCTTAAGAGTCCTTGGCACAGAGGAAACACTAATAAATGGGTATTCTTGTTATCAAGATTATACCGAAGGAAAAAACAAACACTAAAACTATTTCAAAGTGTTTATTATCAGGAGGCATACAATATTCCAGTTTCAAAGAACACTAAAAGAAGGTACCACCCTTGAGTGAAATTACTTCTCATTGTTAACAGTTAAGCCATGTATCCATGTATTTTATGGATTAAAAAGAAAGTCTAAAATTCTCCTGTGCCTAAAATTTTGGAGGGCATAGGCAGGGGTCTTAGGTATAAAAGAAGTCAGCTCTCTGGTGTGTTAGGAGCACTGAAGGATAGGGGTATCTCGGGCCCTGGCAAGCGAGCTCACTTCTCCTTCCTTCCTGCAAAGCAGTTCTTCTGAAAGGCAGACTTGTGCTTAAAAAGAAAATTATGTGCACATTTCAAATTCTTTTTAACATACTATCAACCTAAATATTTGTGCTTCAGTGTTTTATATTTTGAAAAATTGCATTCAATTATGACATGTGAGAACTCCACAGACCTGAAAGGAACAGACCATTATCCCACGGAGAAACCATATTAAGTGCTTCTTTATAGAACCGTCATATGTATTTCAAAGGACATGATTCTAATCACCCTCCTTGTGACTTTCTTACCCATCTGAACAGTTCTGGGACCCAGCACTTGGTGGCTGAGCTCAGGGTGACCTCAGTGCCTGCTCACCCAAGACTCACCTTGGTCTCTCTGGAGAGGGGCTGGGGCCACGTGGAGGAGGTGTGCGGGGCACAGCTGGCTTCGGTGCGATGCTGGCTGCAGGGAGAAGGCCATGGATGATGTGTTTCTGCACAAACGAAACCCAGCAGAGGTCAATGCGATCATCTCTGGTGTGGTGCGACCACACCTCCCTGGGCCTGGGAGGGAACACCTGCACTGGTCACCCAGGGATCTAGTCACACCAGGAGGTCCACTCCTCGCCCTGCCATCCTCAAGGCCCATCTGGCCAGGCACACGTGCCCATGCAGGGAGCACCATATAGCTGCCCTCGGTGGGGACCCTCTGGCCCTTCCTTCCTCAGAACAGCTCCCCTGACCATCCCGCAGAGTCACCCTCCAGCACCCCCAACTGGTCTCACGGCACTGCCCCTGATGACCCTACTTACTCACTTGCCGCCCCCCCCAGCTGGATGGAAGCTTCCTAAGAGCATGCAACCTTCCTGTCTTTATCAACCCTGGAACTCTGGCACTTAGCACATTGTCTAACACCTAGTAGGGGCTTAATAAGGATTTTAGGTAGTTTATCTCAAAGATGCAGAGTAACAAAAACTAGTTCTCACACACAATGAAAGTCGGAGAACCCTGCTTTAGGCAACTGGGAGGCCCTGAGAAGTTTCTGAGTGTAACCCAATCTTCATTTCCTGTGCACTAGCCACTCATTTGTATCTACTAGAGGCAAAACGCCATGACAGCATTTCATGACAATGAAGAAACCTTGTCCTCATCTTTAAGGAGGGACAGTACAGAGGAGAAACACCCAGATATTTATAATACAACACAGAATCATGGAAAGTGCCAAGGGAGAGGTAAAGACAAAGTGCTGAGGTGACCCAGGGAGGGAAGGGCTCCCTCAGATCTGGGGGCCAGGAAGGGGACTGCTGATGTCCTGTTGGAGAAAATCTCAGAGCATTTAGACTGGGTCTTCAAAGATGGCCACTGCTCTCACATTTGGGAAATGCGATAGAAAGGCATTCCAGGAGGAGGGAGGAACAGGAAAAAAGGAATGAAGCAAGACATTAGTGGCAGTGTTCTAGAAATAAGCACTCCGGTGTGCTGGAACGCAGAGGCATCTGAGTTGGAGAGGCTAGAAAAATGAGCTGGAGTCAGAGTGGGGACTGTTTCCATTTAAGAGTTTTGATACCAGACTAAGGAGATCTTGTGGCCTAGTGAGAAGCACCCACTGAAAGTGGCCCCGGGGAAGACTAATCAGGCTGGGGTGGGCACAAGGTATGGGGGCGGAAAGGAAGGTGCGACCAAGGGGAAGAGCCAGGGGTCTGGGCATACTTCAGGAGTGAGGGACGAGAAGACCTTCCAAATGTCTTCTGCAGCCCTCCCACCCCCCACCCCCAGTCCCACGTTCATGGCCAACCCCAAGAGCAGGTATTCCAGAGAAGCCACTGCTGTATCCCACCATTCTCCAGGATAGACACTTGTCTGCCACCTCCCCCATCCCCCACCGCCTGGCAGATGCTCAAGGACAAGAAAGGCTTTTCTTCACCTTTGAATCCCCAGGGGCTGGCAACCAGAAGGTCCTTCAAAAAGGCCTCGTGAGTTTTGTTTATTTATTTATTTTTGATAGAGTGAATCTCCCATAGTATGCTGAACATTTCTCCCCTGTACCACGATAATCATTTCCTAACTATGGTTCTCCTGCCTCTAGTCTCTAATAAAACACAGGATGATCCTATCTCAACCCAGCATGAAAACTCTCGGGTTGACAGAGAAATGTCCTCTCCTGGCACAGAAGGCTGCTAAGCCTGCTATCAGTTGGTTCCTATCAAGGCCCCAGATTCTTTTCTGGCGGGCCCTCCTCATCCCTACACATGCTGTAGCACTCAGAATTGCCTTCCTGTTCCCACATAGCAAATGACTCTTTGTCAGACTTTTGTACATGCTGTTTTCTCCACCTGGAATTCTATTTCCTTACTCCTCCCAAGGCCCAGGTCAACTCTCTGGGCTGACTTTGCTGCCCCTTCCGGTATATGCCTCTTCAGCACTTTTTCCCTCACCATTTTGTGTTAAATGACTTATAGGTTTGTCTACCCTTTAGCCTTTGGGGCCATAGGCTGTCAATCAATTGTGGGTATCCGGCTCACACACAGGAGGAACTCAGTAACACAACAAAAACCTCAATAAAGATGCTGAGTTAGAAAAATTGCAATGGAAAAATATGCTTCAACTATGCCTTCCTTGCTTCTCAACATCCACCTGTCTAAAATGACTTCAACAGGTCATAGGGCTGAGAACAGGAAGCCAAGTCAGACATGCTTTCTGATTCCAATCTGAAACGGAGTTCAGGAGTACCCTTATCAAAATGCTTTCTCTGTATTTAAAGTATTAAGTTTATGGAGAACTGGATGTAAGTAGGTCTGGGGTTTCACCAGGCAAGTATAGAAAAGGGAGACAGGAGCAACGCCATTGCGGTGGGGGGCCGTGGTTACAAAGAAGTATCATAAGAGGAGGGGTCACAGAATGAGCCTGGAAGTGTGGTCCGCAGTGACAGAGTGGCCGTGGTAAGGTCTGCAGGGAAGCATTCCAGGCAGAAGAAAGAGCAAAGACAAAGGCCTGAATAAACCTAAAGGTGGGAATAGCTGGAGCGTCTGTGTGTGTGACTTGTGGGCAGTGGGCACGATCAGAATTGCATTTTAAAAGAATCCCTTTGGCTGCTTTGTGGAGAACGGACCTAGGGGAAGGGCAGGAACGGAGACCGAGAAATAGGGAGGAGCTGCTGCAGCAGTGCAGGTAGATGATGGAGGCCGGGGTGGGGGCGGGGAGCGGGGACGGCTGCCAGATGTATTTGGTGGGTGGAATCTATGGAACTTGCTGGTGGGATGTACATGGTGCGTGGCGGAGGAAAGAATCAAGAATGACTTCCCACAGAGGAATATTCAGTAGTGGAGCAAGTTTGTGCCGGCACGAGTGAACTCACCGACACCGGAGCGAAAGTTACAGGTGAGACAGGGCGAGTCCTATCGACTGAGGCCGACACTGGGATAGAGGATCCGTGTTCCAAACCCGAAAATTCAGGGCTTCTCGAAAGAAAAACCAATTCCTCTTGTGCCGCTACCTTGCCTCCATCCCAAATCCCAACCCCTTCCCACTTAACTCCCGGCCCCACAGGCCAGAGCGCAGGCCGGGCGCAGATATACTTACAAACTGCCTCTTGCCGCCTCTCCGGAACCCCAGGAGCATCCTTGCTGCGGGGGTTGGCCAGACCGGCACTGGACCGACAAGCAGATCTCAGAGCCGAATACCACTCCCTAAAATGGACCGCCTCCAGACGTCTTTTGTACCCAACGGACTTCGAAACAACCACGTCTGCCATTGGCTCTACTTTTCCCAAGACCAATCAGAGCGAAGGTTACTGCACACCCGTCGCTCATGGCAACCAGCGGGTACCTCTCAAATCCTCTCCGGGGCTGAAATTGTGTGCGCTGTCCATTCTCTTATTGGCCAGTCACGTGTCGATCTTTGAGGCCATAGCCTATCCAGCGCCAGGGGAGGCAGAGGGCGGGCAGGATGAAGGACTTGGAGAGCGCGCAGGAGAGAACCCGGAAGTGGGGCGCCGCAGGTAATGTCGCGGGATACCCAGAACTGGGCCCTGGCCGGTTCGGCCCCGGCCCTGGATTGGATGGAAGAGCAACGGCGCGGGAGTGTCAGGGGCCAGGCAGGTGACGCAAATGAGGGACGCGGCTTCTAGGACAGGAATCTCGCCTGTCCTAGCCTCTTAAAGAACACTCTGCAGACGGGCCCCTGCCAAAGAGGCCGGGGCTGGGAGTGGAATGCGGGGCCGTGTGCCGGAGAGCCTGCTCAAGTGCCGTCTTGTATTCCCCTCATTAGACCCAGGCCGCCGATGGAAGGGAACACCCCTGATGGCACAGGCCCCATGCACGTGCCGTTTGGGCACATTGTGGCCAGTGAGAAATGGCGCGGGTCGCAGCTGGCACAGGGACTGCAAGGTCGGTGGGCCCCCTCTACTAAAGCCCTCTCTCACCTCAGCCCACTTTTTAAAAACGTTCCACCTACTGCCGTCTTTTCATCCAAAGCTCACGGAACTTGTTTTCTTTTCTGTATTTTAAGGAAAAATTAAACTCGTTTTTGAGGATGGCCTGACACCGGTAGATTTTTACTTGTCTAGCAGATCCTGCATTCTTTATATCACCGAAGCTGATCTGGTGGCAGGAAATGGCTACAGAAAGAGACTTGTTCGGGTTAGAAACGTAAGTACTGAATTAAAGAAACAAATTGAAAATTGACTGCTATCCCCCCTCTGTCTATCCCTTGGAATAATTTATATAAAACCATTGGCCATTCCAAGCACCCTTGGATAGCTTCTTAATCTTGAATGGAATTTTGTTACAAAATAGTTTCCTGTCTTTTTTTTTTTTTTTTTTATTGAAGTCCAGTAAACTTCAGGGGGTTGTAGTAGTTGAAAAAACGCAGATGAGTGAACAGTACTTTCCAGCCGTACAGAAATTTACTGTGCTGGATCTGGGGATGGTGTTGCTTCCAGTGGCCAGCCAGACGGAAGCGTCCTGTCTCATTATCCAGTTGGTAAGTACTGATTCCTACTCCTCCACAATAGCCCTGTGTTAGGACTCTTGACTGACCTTCCTGGACCTGTTACTCTGACAGACAGCTGCCCTTATTATAGGTACAATCCATCAGGTCAGTCTCTATCAGTGACTGGTTTGGTTTCTAAAACCTTTTTGAGGAATTTTAAGTTCAGAAGCTGCCTCTGCAGCTAGCTGAGCTTGCCCCCCATCTAGGCAAGCATGTAACAAAGCAAACAAGTTGGAGACCTGATTTTAGCCTCCCAGGCTGTGATGACTGCATCATGCACTATTCTGCACTTAGGCTGGTGACATTGTCAACAGCTTCTTCGCCTCATCCACACGTATCTTTTTCTTCTTTTTTTTTTTCGGCCGGGCCACGCGGCATGTGGGATCTTTGTTCCCCGACCAGGGATCCAACCTGCACCCCCTACATTGGAAGGGCAGAGTCTTAACCACTGGACTGCCAGGGAAGTCCTGCCATGTATCTTTTGTTAAGCATCAGCACTTCTGTCTGCAAGTTCATGTGTTGGTTTTTTGAACCTAGTGGTTTTCCATATAATTCATCTTTTAATAATTTTACTGATGCCTGAAAAATTATATTCATGGTATATAGAATATTTGCAGTGGTGAATCAAGCTGAACCAAATGGAAAAAGTAAAACTAAATTTCCACAAAACAGAATTTTAAGAAACCTCCAGTCTTCTAGAGGGCACTCATGTGCTTTTCCTTTCATCTCGGTTCAGGTTGAAGAGCAAACCAAAGAGCCCAGTAAGAACCCTTTTCTCAGGAAGAAACGGGCTCTGATCTCTGAGCCAGCCCTCCTTCGAACTGTGCAACAGATCCCAGGAGTCGGGAAAGTTAAAGCTCCTCTGCTGCTCCAGAGGTTTCCAAGTATCCAGCAACTAAGTAATGCTTCCATCCAAGAACTGCAGCCAGTGGTTGGACAGTCAGTGGCCCAGCACATTCATGCGTTCTTCACCCAGTCCAGGTGATGGCTCTTCCCACGGCATCTCCTTTACATCACGAACCACAGGATCTTGTTTTCTTTCACATTAAGAAACAATATTTCCTCTCACAGAAACTAGGGAAGGATGAAGTGAGGCCTGAATGGCACCTGCCAGTTTTCCTGCCCTGCTTTCTGGGCTCAGGTATTTACTTCAGTTAGTGTGCCCCGGTTGGCACTGCCCGCATCCTGCTAGCATGAAGAGGGCTGGTGGACACCTTCCTAAGGGAGTCGGTTTAAACAGGGACTCTCAAGATTCAGCAAAAAGCCGGCTTGGGCAGATTTTAATGTGTGACCTTCACCTGTATCTGTCATGGAAGGTGGTGGATGTGACCGTCTAAAGGAAACAAACCTACAATGAATGAAGCACTGTGTACCATAAGCCCCTTGTTCCTTCCGGCAGAGCCACTGTTCTTCAGGTCTGGTCTTAATACACCTGTGCTTTGAGGGTGGCTGCCAGTGTAAACAAACAATTGTCCTGCCTTTTTTCTTCCTTCCTTCCTTTCTCCCTCCATCCCTCCCTTCCGGGTAGCTGCACAGTTTGTTTGTAATCACTGAGCATGACTTCTGAACACAGCAAGCCTGGAGTCCAGAGTTCCCATTTTAAAATAAAAAGCCAATGTGTGCGAGGGAGGGAAAGAATGTGTTTGTAAATGTATAGCCCAACAATGGGAAGAGAAAAGGGAAAATGGCAGGTGCAGCTGCATCCAGAGAGGAGAGCCTGGGGATCAAAATGTACAACTGCTCATTCAAAAAATAAATACAATTAAAGAGGCTATATGTTTTCAGGGATACTAAGATAACTTGAGAGCTAAGTCCTGTTTTGTGAAATGTTAGTAATTTTAAAAAATCAAATACAATAAAAACATTTTGTGCATTAGGGTAAAAATGATTTGAAAGAGGAGGGAATTAAAGTGAAATCAAAGTGGAAACCATTAACTCAGGCAAATGAATGCATTTATGTAAATATTTATACAAAAATAGCCCTAAGAGCAATGGATACACTTTCCCAAATATGGCTGCTTCCCTTTTGATATTACACACTAGAAATTATTTAAGTTTGTTAATTCTCAAAATTACATGTCAATGATATATTTTTAAAAGCTATATAACTTGTACTGTGCCAACAGTGAATCTTATTAGAGTCACTGTCATCCAATGTATAGCAAGAGAAATCATTTGGTAAGAATGTCATTTTAAAAAGTCAAATAGAGCTCTAAACTTGAATCATTTACATCCTGACCTTATACAATGTTTTTAACCCTTCTTAAAGACTCTTAAAATATACAACTATGTACTTTCTACTTTAAACAAAATGAAAAATGTTTTGAGTATCAAACAGTATATTATCTACCTTGTAGACAGCATCTTCACCTAACACTGCCACTGTGTTAGCGACTTTTAAATGACATAACATAGAAGAAAAGTTGCTCCTAAATGGTTTTTTATCTAATAAGTCATGACAGATTTGGCACTAGACTTTATCCGGAAACAGCATTCATATTATTTAGAAATAATAGTAAAATCTTGTTGTTTTAGGTTAATGAATTCCCCTTAGGAAGGAGCTCTTTGGGACAGTTTTTAGTAACACTAATTTAAGTCTATCATTATTGTCCCTTGCCCTGCCTTAATTTGGGGTCATCTGAATTCTGAGTTAAGGAATTATCCATCTATCACCCAAGTCTGGAAACTTACAAATAGGACCTATAGGAAATCCTAATTTAACTCTGATAGTAAGTAGCTAAGAGTCTTAATTATAGTCGTTAAAAACAGCCATATGTCCACATTATTCTATTTACAATGCTTTATATAATAAATAACTTGCAGCAATATGGTGAGACTCCCCTAATAAGTTTGTTTTCCACAAATTTCTAGAGGTTTCTTGTTACTGTCATTCATAAAAACGTATCAGTTGTAGGTTTACACTGAGAGAAAATGGGATTTGAGAGTATTTAGAAATTTTCCGCTATGGCACAAATAGGAAGGCCCAGTCAGCACGGGAAACGCTTTTGTTTCCTCACGTTAGTACAGAGAACCGTCGGAGGTGAGAAGGCTGAACGGAGAGGGGAGCTTCTTCTTGACCGGAGGCCCCTCAACCCTGACCCCAACCGATGGGAGGCACAAGGTGCTCGCCGACTTCTGTCTGTTCTTGTTGGTGTTCCAACTCAAAAAGGACAGCTTTTTCGAGACTTTCTTGGTTTTATCAGTTTTATCATCATCATCTGTGGCTAAGCAGATCATGGAGTAAGTTTTCTGCATTCCCACAGAGTATGTGGCACATTTACTATGCTGCACACAGAAAAGGAAAGAGAAAGGTGTTAGAAGTCAAGATGTCAGAGAAACGATTGCGAAGTTTGAGACTCAGATTCTGCACTCATAGCATCCTCTTTAAAATTACGTTGACATAATTCTGAAACTCAGTGACAAATGCTTATATAGAATTAGGTTCTTAACAACAAGGACAATTCTTAAGGAATATACTCAGTAGTAGTAATTTAGGCTAGAGACCACTACCTTTTAAGGTTATTACGTTTGAAAAAGTAATATATACTCATGGTCAATGATATGAAAATGCATGAGGTGAACAGTAGGTGTCCCTCCTACCTGGGCTTTCAGGCTCTTCCCCTGAGGTAACCACTATCTGTTACACTTTTAGAGATAACATTCATATACAGGTATTGATATGTGTGTAAGTATACATCACCATTTGTCTTTCCTTAGGAATACACTACACACACTTGTCCGCACCCTGCTTTCTTCACTTAATGTATCCTGGATTTCAGCACACACCAACAGATACAGATCAACTTCATTCTCTTTAAAGACAGTACAGGGTCCATGGTGATGAGGATATTAAATTTTTCCAATTTTTTAAACGTGAAATAAACATAACGTCAAATTTACCATTTTAACCATTAAGTTCTGTTTATTTCACCAGTTTAAAGACATGCCCTCCCATGTGCCTGGACCCTCTCACTCCCTCTCTCCTCCAGGTATCCCCTCCTTTCTGCTCTCCTGTCTCCTAAACCTTTCCCATCTGCACACAAGCTAACTGCTATCAACACACACACCTTGGAAAAACTCTCCTTTACCCCTACGTCCCCTCCCAGCTACCACCGCAATATCTCTGCTCCCTTTCACAAGTCTTCCCTTTCTCTCATTCACTGTTTCCTGTCCTCATCCAGCATGCTGCCCACTACCCAGTCCCCACATCTTCCTGGGGCACCTCTCTGACACTCTCAGGACCTTATGGAGCACAGCTGGAAACCACTGCACTCGTCTAAATCTTAGATTATACAGATGAGGACCATGAAGCCTGCTGAAGGTCAAACAGCTTCTTAACAGCAGGCAGGGCCTGATTCCAGGTCTTTGATTCCAAGCCTGGGGTTCTTTCCACGACATCAGTGGTAGTCAGAATGTGCTCCATGGAGAGGTACTAGGGATCCCCACCGTAATCCAGAGAGAGTTGGGTAGCAGGCAACCAATTCAGCCAGAGCACAGGGCTTTACTGTTCCCATGATTTGCTTTTGTTTGAAGAAGAGGCTCAGCAGTTGAAAACAGTGCTCACAGCAAAGGAAACCATAAACAAGATGAAAAAACAACCCTCAGAATGGGAGAAAATAGTTGCCAACAAAGCAACTGACAAGGGATTAACCTCCAAAAAATGGCTCATGCAGCTCAATAACAAAAAACAACCCAATCAAAAAATGGGCGGAAGACCTAAATAGACATTTCTCCAAAGAAGACATACAGCTGACCAACAAACACATGAAAAGATGCTCAACAGCACTAATTATTAGAGAAATGCAAATCAAAAGTACAATGAGGTTATCACCTCACACCGGTCAGAATGGCCATCATCAAATCTACAAACAATAAATGCTGGAGAGGGTGTGGAGGAAAGGGAACCCTCTTGCACTGTTGGTGGGAATGTAAATTGATACAGCCACTATGAAGAACAGTGTGGAGGTTCCTTAAAAAACTAAAAATAGAACTACCATACGACCCAGCAATCCCACTACTGAGCATATACCCTGAGAAAACCATAATTCAAAAAGAGTCATGTACCACAATGTTCACTGCAGATCTATTTACAATAGCCAGGACACTGAAGCACCCTAAATGTCCATCGACAAAGCAGTATAAAGCAGATGTGGTACATACATACAATGGAATATTACTCAGCTATAAAAAGGAACGAAATTGTGCCATTTGCAGAGACGTGGATGGACCTAGAGACTGTCATACAAAGTGAAGAAAGTCAGAAAAACAAATACTGTATGATATCGCTTATATATGGAATCTGGAAAAAGGATACAGATGAACTTATCTGCAAAGCATAAATAGAGACACAGACGTAGAGAACAAAGGTATGGACACCAAGGGGGGAAGAGGGGGGCGGGATAAATTGGGAGATTGGGATTATAGATACACTACTATGTATAAAATAGATGACTAATGAGAACCTACTGTATAGCACAAGGAACTCTACTCGATGCTTTGTGGGGATCAAAATGGAAAGGAAATCCCAAAAAGAGGGGATATATGTATACATATAGCTGATTCACTTTTCTGTACAGCAGAAACTAACACAACATTGTAAAGCAACTATACTCCAATAAAAATTAATAGAAAAACAAATTAACAAAAAAAACCCAGTGCTCAATTATATGAAGTCCATGCTGGGTGAAAAGAATAGCCATGTCATGGTTATTACTCTTCTAACACCTATTATGAATTGAAATGTATCCCAGCTACGCACCGTTTTCTCCATTTTCCCGAGGCTCAGAGCAAGTCTCTGACGCCCAAGGTCACGGAACTGGTGAAAGCCAGGATTCAAATGCAGGCAGTCTGAATACAGAACCCTTGCTTTCATCCCTACATCAGATTCTTCATTGGCCTGGTTCAATCAGAAATGTGACAGGACTAACATAAGCCTTTCAGTCTCTTCAGGGGCAGGGCTGCTCTCTAAAGCTGCAGGTCCTCCAGCTGTGCCTAACAGACTCCAGCCCTCAGGCCAGAGCCCAGCACTTTTATATAACCTCTTCTTGAACAAACTCCTTTTGTT